CCCTACAGCGTGGTATGTACACCCCCCATGGCAAACATCCCTCTTCTACATTGTGCATGGATATGGGTAGGTTACTCGGATTAGACCTTCATTCATACCCAAGCGCAGCGTAAAGGTGGTGAACAACAGTAGAGGGCGTCCATAGGCAGCAGGCCTGAATAAGCATCGAACAGAAATTAATTAAAAATACTCAAACTGTTACTGCGCTTACACAACATACACTTTATTCATGTTAAATAACTACAGATTCATGCTCTATGCTCCGCTCGAAACCTTTGCCAGCTCTATGATGCGAATTTCTACAAAGTTGTCTGAACACATTTCAAACACAAAAATGACCAGCCGGTCGCTGTGGCTACGCCACCTGACGGAAAGACACAACAACACGACAAGACCAATTTTACTTCTAATGCTTTCTAGACGTCCACGAGGCATCCAACTTGCGTGCATAATGCAAATTATTGCACTCTAGTGCCGAATTTTGGCGAAAACAAATGCCAAAAAAGGCCTTTTCTATAGACGAAATAGTGCAACAATTTACAACGAATTTGCGGAGCCTTACTGTTGTATGCTTCCTAAAGGAGGGAATGTTTGCCATAGAAAGGTTGTATAACATGCCAAACCCTCTGTGCGTGCCCGCTGTGCATCTGTAGACAGACTGCATCGATATATTTCCCCACTCCAACCTGCCCGCCCGTCCGCTCTCAGGCACTTAGTGTTGATTGGCATTTTCAATCCTCTACGTCACGTGACATACCCACTACTATCACAAGCAATAAGAAGCTCAACGCATAACATTGACGCAAAACATCTAGAAATAGAAATAGACAACAGAACAGATATCTTTCGCGTAAACACACACACAACAGTTCTGTATCATAGCGAAATCAACATCAGATACTTACTACGTGCTCGGTACCAAGAGAGTATTAATGCACTCATGTATTATTAATAATGTATATTACATAATGTAATGTAATGTATCTTACGTAATAGTCTATTAATAGCGCTTGACGGTATACATACGGAGAGGCACGTATTCACGTGAGCACGCGGTGACATTCTATCTACCGGACGTGTCCTCCATTGATGTTTGCTGCTAGATTTATACTCACACATCCGTTCTAGTTGGCCAGCGAAGAGAGATGCGACTCTACGGCATAGTGAACAAGACAAGTAACAACCTGGTTTTATTTCTCGCGGAGCAGTTTTAAACGGCGATTTTTAAATGCGCTAATCCGCCCACATTGTTTCATTTCTACGCCAACGTGGATTTCTATCTCATTTCCGGAGCGTTCTAATTCGCGCGCGGCGGGCGTATAGGTATTTAATCGTTAATACGTGTGCCGAGTGAATTCATATACTTTCGACGTCAATCAAATTTGTTGCATTGTTTCGCGGCCGCGAAATATAACGCATGGGGTAATGAACACGAAAGAACGAAGAGAGCGAGTTTGACACAAAACCTTTTTGAAATTAAATCCGGCGGCAGGGCCGAAGGGAAAACCAGCGATGTATGCCAACTCATTTTTTTAGAGAACACTAGGGGGTGGGGTGTGGGAGCGGGCTTTCGCTGCCTGCATGGTAAAAGTTACCTCCAGGCATGAACTCACTTATGCATGATGGTTGCGAAGAGATCTAAGCATATAGGCGCGTTGCTGGGCTGTAGCTGGGTCTCACTTGGAAGAGAGAGAGAAAGAGAGACAGAGAGACAGAGAGAGAGAGAGAGAGAGAGAGAGAGAGAGAGGGGGGGAAGGGAAGA